GAACGCACATGAACTTCAAATATGAAATAGCAGAAATCAAGCATAACATGTATTACAACCTTGTATTGATTTATTTATATGTACAACTTTCAGTGTCTGAGTTTCCGTAGATATTGTCTCTCAGTGTTCAGGTGTTCTTAGCTGTTGTGGTATTCTGCAGGGCAGTTCTTGTCCTGCTGCAGAATAAACTATTTCTTGCACTCTTTGCACATCCAGGGAGTGTTTTCTATTTTGCACAGTGCATACCTGTTTCACTCCTGACCTGCCCTCTGTGCTTTGTCCATTCCTTCTCCACTGGTCCAGGGGACAGGGATGTGACCTTGAGCGGAGGTCACTGGAGGGTTTTCATTCTGTGCACTCTGCTGCTCCTGAAGTGGTTAATGTTTCATGGCCTCCTTCTGCTACTTGTTGCTGATGTGTTTGTGGAGCTGGTGGTGAGAGGCAGCTGATAGCCCAGGGTTCTTCTGGGGGAAAATCTGGGTGCCGTGGGTCGACGGTACCTGGGTCTGACTTTGTTGTCCAGGAGTCCAGAAGATGTAGAGCATCTCCAGCAGCATCCTGTCTCTGACACTGTCTATTGCTGGTGATGGTGGATGGCTCTTCATCAGAAGAATCTCTAAAATTAGAAATACATCAGATTTTATAAAACATACTCATTTGGTAAATACTAGAAATGAAAACTGTAAAAAAAAATACGGAAGTAAAGCTAGAAATATATTTGAACTGTAGATAAACTTACTGCAGCTGTGATGGCAAATCATCTTCATCCACACCTGAATCCTCACCATAGATGTACATGGACCTTTTGTTTTCCTGGAAGTAGTAGTACATAATAGTATAGTAGTAGTATTAGCAGAAATACTAGACAATCGAAACTGGAACGGGTTTAGTGTAGAGATACTTGCTGCATTTGAGATGGAAAAACAATGTGGGCACATCTTGCTCCTCATCATCAACTTTTGAGGGAAGTTTCCTCTTTCTAGAAGGTTTCCTGGTTTCTGGTTTATTTACAAGAACAAATCTAACGTATAAAATAATAAAAAAGCCTCATTTAAAAACACAGCTGAAAAAAAGACAAAACTACAGGTGACCGAACGAGTACAAAAAATGGCAAAGCAATGTCAAATACGACTAAATATAATCTAAAATTACTGAATAAAAACATAAAGTAGGAAATTTACTGAAAATAATAATTATTTACACCAGTAGAAGAGATAGAAGTTGAAAATATGCGTTCAAAACAATTCCTCTGCTCCCCTATGAGCACGACACATGGCAGACTGTTTATTTCCTTGTTCTCGGGCAGGGACTTGCGTAACATTACCGTAATGTATTAAATACCATTGGAAAGTACATGGTCTAAACTTTCAGAATCTGTTGATTGGGCAAACTGTTGAAGAGTTACGGTAAAGTATGAAAGCCAGTTTGTGTCGCTATTGACACAACCGCAGAAGCTTTGGGGGCCTCTAGTGGCTTGGGGGCCCTGCAACAGCATAGGTTGCACATAGGAAGAAACGGCCATGCGTGTGAGAAAAGAGAGAGAGCGTACAAAGAAAATCATGAAAAACAGATGTCACATGACCACCAGTGACTTGATGATATTTGTGTTGAACATTAAAATATTTATATTTGGATTTTCTTTTTCCAGAATTTCACACATTATCGTGACAGTGAGAAGTAAACCAAGCTCCGGTTGATAATGTACAGTGGGATGCGACAGTTTGGGCAGCCTTGTTAATCTTCTTGATTGTCCTGCGTAAATTGTGGTTGTTAGGATAAAAATGTCAGTTAAATTTATAATATAGGAGACAAACAGTGATATTTAAGATGTGAAACAAAGTTTAAAGGATTTACAGAAAGTGTGCAATCATTAGGCAGGTGCATACATGTGTTGTTTTATTGATTCCAAACCTTTAGAACTAATAATTGGAACTCAAAATTGGTTTGGTAAGCTCAGTGACCCTTGACCTCCGTACAGGTGAATCCAGTTAAAGAATATTTAAGGTATTTAAGGAAGTTTCCCTCCTCTTTGGATATTCTCTGAGAGTAACAACTCTCACATGACTTGAAAACAAAGATGGTTTAGGGCAGGGGTGGGCAATTCCGGTCCTTGAGGTCCGGTATCCGGCATGTTTTAGTGGCTTTACTGATTCAACACACTTGATTCACCTGTGCAGCTGCTCATCAGGCTCTGCAGAAGCCTGTTGAAATCAGGTGTTGAAACATAGCTAAAGCTAAAACATGCTGGATACCGGACCTCCAGGCCTGGAATTAGAGATTTCACCTGTCTGTTCCCACAGTTAGGAACATATTGAGGAAATGGAAGACCACAGGTACAGTTCACGTTAAGGCTCTAAGTGTCAGACCAAGAAAAATCTCAGATAAACTAGTAATGTAAGAAAATATTGGTATGGCAATATATTAGGGTAACTTTTTCTGCGATATTATATCGATATTCAAAAGCTGTGTATCAAAAATGTCGATATGGCATTATATTGTGAAAAATTTCCCTGCAATATTATATTGATATTCAAAAGCCATATATCTATTCATTGGAAGAATTTACATTCAAACATTTGTATATTTTATTTTCTTTTGGTGCATTTCAAAGGCTGACCGCTAGTTAGCAGCAATGTGCAATGTTTTTTTTTTCCACCACTGAAATGTAAATCCCTCTATTATGGTTCAGATACCTCATGATTGCACTGTTAATGAATATTCCTTCAATACATTCAGCCTAAAAAATTCGATAATAACGTCTGACTAAATGTATCACAATATATTGTGATATATCTTATCAACTCCCCTGTATCGTGATACGTATCGTATCACCAAAATTTCACCAATACACATCCCTATGATAAACAGAAGTGAAGAATGGTGAGAACAGTCAGTGTCAACCCACAGACCAGCACCAAAGACCTACAACATCATCTTGTTGCAGATGGAGTCTGTGCATTGTTCAACCATACCATACCATACCATCCCAAACCATAGTTTTTTTATATAGCACGTTTAAAACGCAGCATGGGAGCTGCCCAAAGTGCTGCACAGGCTAAAACAAAACGCAACCATTCTAGGGAACTAAAACAAAGGATAAAAATACCAGTCAAAGCAGATAAAACATGATGAATACTAAGAACACATTAAACAATGACACAGTAAAACACCAAAATGAGTCACTGTCTAAAAGCCAAATCATAAAAGTGGGTCTTTTAAACAAGATTTAAAAACCGCCAATGGTGGAGCCTGCCGAACTCCAATGGGCAACGAGTTCCACAGCTTTGGGGCAGCATGCACAAATGCTCGTTCACTCCGCGATTTGTATCGCATCCGCTATTGGGTGCACTTTACACAAGGAGGTGCTGCATGTGAGAGTGATGCAGAGGAAGCCTTTTCTCCACCCAGAGCACAAACAGAGCAGCTTGAGATCTGCTAAAGCTCATTTGGACATGCCATTTTCATTCTGGTATAAGGTGCTGTGGACTGATGAAACTAAAACTGAGTTATTTGGGCATAACAAGGGGCGTTATGCATGGAGGAAAAAGAACACAGCATTCCAAGAGAAACACCTGCTACCTACAGTAAAACATGGTGGTGGTTCCATCATGCTGTGGGCTGTGTGGCCAGTGCAGGGACTGGGAATCTTATTAAAGTTGAGAGACGCATGGATTCCACTCAATATCAGCTGATTCTGGAGACCAATGTCCAGGAATTGGAACTGGAGAGGATGGATTATAGTCATAATCTGTTCAAACAGAATACTGGGTGTAATGATTTAAATTACGTGCTATTTAATAAGCCATAAGGCGTAGGATTCCATAGGAAATATGAAATCCACCATACGGATCTGTGAGGTTATTTACCAGAAGATTGGACATTTTTAATGCAGGGATTAGATAACCGCTTCGTATTCATTCAGAGACAACAGAAGAGAGAGTCGAGTTTAAAAGTTAAGAATTTTATTACTAACGAATTAAACTAGACTGACTTTAAACACTACATGTATGGTGTAACTAAAGTGGATGAGACGGTGAATGGATGACATGTGATGTTGATCAGAACCAGCAAATCCGAAGCTGCGATTAGTTCTGATGGGAACTGAAGGTGATGTCTTCGCATGAAGCTTTGGTTAGGAGATTCATAAACACATTCGACGCCATTTGCCGGTCTACCTACCCTTCAGGAAGCCCTCTTTAGATCAGGAATGTCGAGGTCCAGCTTGACCTACTCTGGAACCGAGCCGGTAGGAAAAGCAGCGGTTGCCGACCAGACCAGTCTTTGAGATACTTCCGGGTCGCGACAATTTGTGTGCGTCTGGTGAGACCCGAGCCTGGGTCTTGAGGGTTCAGCTTTTATTTTGAAAGGAACCGTTGCAGCAGTTTGAACAGCAACACATTTTCCAGCTTGTCGTTGGTTCTTTCGGTTGAAGAGGAAAGTTACGGATTGGCCACTCCGACACTTCTCTAGAACGCTTTGAACTGGCGTTAGAGATGACGTGGGCATAGTTTTATACTTTGGATGTTTTGGTTTATGGTCGAATGAAAAGTTGACGGATTTACCAAACACCACCAAAACCACGCCTCCGTCAGATCTGGCAGATTCTGATTGGATCAGTGAAAGCAATGTGTCATGTCTTTTAACGCTACGTGAAATGAGAGTCCTGTTGGAACATTTAAAGTCACAGTACCTTTATATTCTAAAGGGTTATATTAAAGTAACTAATATTTTGATTGCACTGATTGGTCACCTTATTTATTGACTAACACTTTGTTTGATTAGCTTTATTAAAATAGAGTTCTTTGATTAATTAAAAGAAAAGAGTTCATTCTTCATTCTTCTGTTGAGCTGAAAATAAGCAGGTTAGAAGGAATGCATGAGACCTTGAGACCATATCTCATGCAGACTAGTCCTGTATCAGAGGAGGGGGAAAACGGTCATTTCATTCTGTTACATGGGTCTGATACAGGAAGGACCTAAAACGTTTGCTGTTGTTTCAGGTGGTGAAGACCGTGGGTCTGAGGGAGGTCTGGTTCTTCGGTCTGCAGTACACGGACAGCAAAGGCTACGTAACATGGCTCAAACTCAACAAGAAGGTGATTAATCACATCAAATATTATAAATCCATTCCACAGCATCATGGATGAAAGACTTAACCCCAAAATGGGAATGCTTTGGATTAATCAAACACAAGGAAACAAGAGGACACTACAGGAAAGCCAAATGAGTTCAGTGGAATAATGCATCAACTCTAGAGCTGCGCATACCCCAATCTCAAACAGACTAACACCTTTTCCACCAGATGTCTTTCCACATGGTTGTTTAATAAATGAGAATTAACTCATTGCACCAGTTGGGTTAAATAACTTGTTGCAGCTGAAAGATAATCGCCCATGCAGTAATTATCTAATAGGAGGCTCGTAACTACATGCTTAGTCCATGTGGTGACTCTGGATTTGCTCTGGGCTGTGTATATTGCTGAGTTAGACAAAAAAAAATCACTTTTCTTTCAGTATTGTGCAGTCCTAATAATCTGTAAATAATCTTGTTTTAGTGTGGTGAGTAAGATCTTTTTTGCTGTGTTGGGTGTATTTTTGGCCTTCAGGTGACGCAGCAGGATGTGAAGAAGGAGAATCCTCTGCAGTTCAAGTTCAGAGCAAAGTTCTTCCCAGAGGATGTTTCTGAAGAGCTCATCCAGGAGATCACACAGAAGCTCTTCTTCCTGCAGGTACTTAGCACGGGTTTAATGTTATCAAATATCATCATCTCCGTGCACTGATGTTTCCTAAACCGTAAGTTGTTCCTCACGTGGCTGATCCAGTCCAGGGTGATCAGGCTATCTGATGAGTTGTCCCAGATGGAGATCCCTAATGCAGTGAGCAAAAAGGCAATTCTAGCTGACCTATTTCTGAGTTCACTGCTGCTCTCCTAATAAAATGGTCACTTGACTGACCTTTACAGAATTACGTTTGGAAATCTCCAGTTGGTGGTTTTTGTGTTCTCCAGACTGAGCTTTAGAGGATGCCTCCTACAGGTGTGCACTACTTTCTATGTGACCTGTAAAGCAACAGAAGCTGTTTTATTGTTAAGTGTAGCAGGTAAAAATCAAGCTTCAAGAAACAAGCTTCCTCTGACTGCGAATATAATATTTATGGTGCATCTTTGTTCTTGTTGTTGTTGTTGTGAGCTCCACAAGCCGGCAGCCCACGCATCAGACAGAAGCCGCGATCAGACAGAGATGCACCGAGCTGCGGGGAGGGGAGAAATGGGTGGAAAACCGAGGTCTGCCGAGAGCTCCACAAGCCGATAGTCGGAACCCAGCTCCACCAACATGTTATATTTCAACCCATTTTCTAAAGTGCAGCATTATGTTAAATGCACTGGCTTTTACCCTATTACATTTAAATGTCATGGTTAAACAGTACGTGTTAAAATCTAAGCTCAGCTCGGCAGTGACCTAAAATACATAAATATAATTTTACTTACCGAAAAAAATGAAGTGGAGACTCCTTGGACGCTCTATTAGTGCAATTAATGCCACAGCAAGTCATTTTGTCCAACAATTGCACAAAAATATCCAAAACAGAATACACAAACACAGAGACTCAAAATCCCGGAACAGTTTCCAGGCCAGACCGAGGCTCTACTGAGGCCTTTCCACGGAGCTAGCTCTGTGGTCACGTGGGTCTGATGCTCATTAATTATGCAGAATTTTAGGCTTTTAATTCACTTAAACAGAAGAGTGAGAAAAAATTTCACCCCTCTCAGAGTTGTCATGAGTGTAAACTAGATCATTTAAACCAAAAACATGTTTTGGAACCAGGCTGTAAACATGTTTATTTCTGCTGTGAAATTGGTATGTTTAACATGGGAGTCAATGAGGATTTGTCATCATAAAACCCAATTAAATAGTAGGTAGAAATTTATAGAAGCACACTTAAAATGATTGAAATATCTCTGAATCCACTTTGCTAGTAGGCTCATTTCTCTCTGCTGCTTCTCCACACAAGTATCAAGCTAGCAAGCGTTGTAGCAAATTTTATATCCTTGCAGAGTGACAAGTCTACTTTACCTGGTAAAACACATGACCTAAACAATATTCGGAGTAAAAAGAATCAGATTGTTTTAAAAGATAAAGGATAGCGTTGTCATAGAACCAGCGTCCTGGTACAATGACATGTGATTTCAGTACAACCATTCCATGATCAGACAGACTGCACATGAAACATGTAGTTTTACTGTGGGCTAGGGATAGGGCTGGGCGATATGACGATTTTGGACCGTTTTACGATCTACACATCTGACGGTCTGTCATTTTTGAGAGACCGTTTTATCACGATTCACAGCTCTGCTGTTGAATTTCTGCCTCTGAATGAAAATGGAACTTACCCCAGGTGAATGACACGCCTTTGTTTGACCCTTAACCAATCAGAGTGAGTCATAGTAATATATTAGTGCCCCGCTTGTTTTCATTTGTGTGTGAGCAAACATGGCTTCGCCGCGGCTGAGCAACACGTTCCGAAGAGGAACGCAGGGTTTCCTTAGCGCACGGCGCTAACAACTTAGCGACGTGACATGTCTCGGAGAAAGCGTAAAAACACGTTGGACGCTTCTTCTGAAGCAGGAAAATAGCACCGCTTCTTAAGCAGAGCACGACGTCACCTCGGCTCGTTCACCCTCTGCCGAGCCGGTGTCGGTACCAGACTGAGCTCGGTCACTGGGTCGATGGAGCTGCCCCGTGACTGCCTGATGGAAAACCAGCGGGTTTCATCAGACTCGTAGTTTCTTGTTTTTGTTGGGGACCTCCTGTAATTTACCGCTCCCTCCTGCAGTCTTCCCCTATTACTATTTAAAATGATTCTGTAAACTCCGTGTATCAATAGTAGGGCTGGGGGTAAACGATTATTTTTAAAACGATTATTCTGACAATTATTTTATCGAATAGTCGACTATTCTAATGACTATTTAGAAAATTGATCTAATGATTATTTTTCTATTGCACAATTAACAAAAACCAGAAAATCTCAAATAAATTCCTCAAAAAAATTGATAAATTCTTACTGTAAGAGAATAAACACTACAGGCCTTCCATTTTGTATAACACTGCGTTTATTGTGTTGGTTTTCTGATGACGTGTAGAACCTGGGAGTGCAGGCTGCTGCCTGAGAGGTGGTAGAAGATGGAGTGTCTCCATGCTGCTTTGTTTTGGTCACTTATGTGCGTGAGGCGAGTGGTCTTACATTTTAAACTAAACCGAAAACCCACAACACTCTAAATGTAATAAAAGGGAGATCTACACCACAAAAAAGATGAACTCTAAACCAAAACGTAACAGCTTATCCCAACGCAAGAAGCTGTTAGCGAAGATGCTAACAGTAGCTTTACCAACATTAAGTTCAAGTTACCAAGTTTAAATAAACCAAAAACACCCAGCAGCAAACAGACCAGCACGGAGGAGAGACTGCTACCACCAAAACAGCTCTCCTCATGTCTGAAAGAAGCTCCTTAATGAAGGGAGAAGCGCTCCCGGTGATTTTCTACATCTGCGACAGAGACGGAGCAGCGCACATCTGACCCCGGAAGTTGTTGTCCGTTGCCGGGAGACGAAGGGGCAAAACAGGAAAATAATCTAGTAGTGGACGGACGTTGTTCCGGGTCTTCGGTATTTGGCGGAGATGTTAGTGAAGGCGGAGAAGAGGGCGAACTAGAGGAAAAACAGGCAGATTCCTCCTCTATTTACAAACTCCTGGGGATGGAACAAGTGGGCGCGGTGCGTCGACTTCCGGATCTGACATCGACAAATTTTTAGAATCGAGCCGTCGACTTCGTCGAGGCTTCGCTACAGCCCTACTCAATAGAAACAATATCTGCCTCTGCCAGCTGCAGTAAATGTAGTTTCCAAATAATAAGACGTGCATTCATCTGTGTATCTCCTTTGATCCGCATTAGTGATATTTTCAGCACCAGAACAGTGAAGCAAAGAAAGATTCCTGAGTTTGTTAGTAATTTTATTTATTAGGTGCATCTAACCTGTTCTATTTTTCTCTGAAATGAGATCAAATCAGTGCTTCTATGGGTTGTCTCCACTGGAAAATTTTACTTTATTTAGAGACTTGTTGCAGAAAGTATTCAGAATGCGCAGTTATTTGCTACCACAAGCGATCTCTGGTCCAGCCGCACATCAGAGCCGTATTAGAGCTTAACTATCCACTACATGAGCAACTGGGAGCTACATAGTATTTTGAATAAGTTAATGTTTGCACAATACGTTTGCAATTGACATGTTTGCACTTTAAATATGTTTACGATTTTAATTTATGTTAAGTTACTTGAAAAACGAGAAAAACAGATTTTTGTAATTGTTTCTCTCAGAGCTTTTATCATCTCTGGTATGAGTTTAAAATATAAGTGTGTTAGCACTGTGCTGATTATCCCTAATATGATTAAATATTTATTTATTCAATGTTTCTCTTCTTTAATACACAATTGAAGTTATGCTATTCATGGATAAAAAAATCGTGATAAAATCGAAATCGCGATAAAATATTGGAAAAATCGTGATATTCTATTTTTGCCATATCGCCCAGCCCTAGCTAGGGATGTAGCGAAGCCTCGATGACATCGACGGCTCGATTGTAAAAATTTGTCGACGTCAGAACCTGTAGTCGACACACCACGACCACTTGTTGCATCCCCAGGAGTTTGTAAATAGAGGAGGAATCTGCCTGTTTTTCCTCTAGTTCGCCCTCTTCTCCGCCTTCACTAACATCTCCACCAAATACCGAATACCCGGAACAATGTCCGTCCGCTACTAGATTCCTTTCCTGTTTTGCCTGCCTTTGTCTCCCGACAACGGACAACAACTTCCGGGGTCAGATGCGCTGCTTCGTCTCTAACGCAGATGTAGAAAATCACCGGGAGCGTTTCTCCCTTCATTAAGGAGCTTCTTTCAGACATTAGGAGAGCTGTTTTGGTGGTAGCAGTCTCTCCTCCGTGCTGGTCTGTTTGCTGCTGGGTGTTTTTGGTTTATTTAAACTTGGTAACTTGAACTTAACGTCGGTAAAGCTACTGTTAGCATTTTCGCTAACAGCTTCTTGCGTATGGATAAGCTGTTACGTTTTGGTTTAGAGTTAATCTTTTTTGTGGTGTAGATCTCCCTTTTATTACATTTAGAGTGTTGTGGGTTTTCGGTTTAGTTTAAAATATCACCTTGAGTTTGGTTTAACCACCCAGTTTAGAGTTTGGACCTTTGGAGATTCTTATTTTGGTCCAGAACCCAGTAATCTTTGCCCAGTGGGACATCCCTACTTATTAGTACTTTTGTTTTAATTCCCCACAGGCAGAATTAGTTTTATTATTCCCAACCTGTGGATGGAAAGATTTATGTTTTCTTTTAGTTGTAAATAAACCTGATCATCATCATTTTAACTTTTAAATCCCGTTATTGTCCCTTCCTTTTTGCACATGAGCCCAACTCCCCAGGAAGAGTCGTAACACCACTCGCCTCACGCACATAAGTGACCAAAACAAAGCAGCATGGAGACACTCCGTCTCCAACCACCTCTCAGGCAGCAGCCTGCACTCCCAAGTTCTACACATCACCAGAACATAACCAACCAACACAATAAAAGCAGGGTTATACAAAATGGAAGGCCTGTATGTTTATTCTCCTACAGTAAAAATGTATCTTCGTTTTTTTTTTTTTTTTTGAGAAATTTATTAGAGATTTTTTGGTTTTTATTAACTGTGCAATAGAAAAATAATCATTAGATTAATTGTCTAAATAGTCATCAGAATAGTCGACTGTTCGATAGAATAATCGTCAGAATAAACATTTTAAAAATAATCGTTTACCCCCAGCCCTACTGTGGCCACACAGCCATTATAGCGCTCCCATTATGAAGATGAATAAAGATGGGTAACACGAGGGCGGGGAGGTATGAGGGAGAATAACATGCACACTCACTCTGCTCCCTACAGGGAACAGATTTAGCTTGCTGGATAAAACACCACAGACATAAAACTGCTAATTCAGACAGCCACAGCATCATTGAATGTGAGGTGGGTGAGAGGGGTGGGAATCCCCAACCATACGAGAAAGACCAGCAGCTACTCATCAGCGCGACCTTTAACCTCCACTGCTCAGGAATTGGAGTAGAGTTTTAGGGACGCGTGAGCACGTTGAAAAACTAGGAGTGTGTGCATGTCTGTCATGTGAGTGCGTGCATCCGTGTGTTCAAAAGTGAGAGTCCATGAACTTTGGCTCAGTTCTGCTGCAATGTCAATCGTCTCAGATGCAACAACATGACCTTCCACAAGCTGGTCCAAGGAGTTCATTGTCCCATGTGAGGAATCGGGGAGGGAGGGGTAGAGCATCTGTCTACATAAACATCCAGGAGGTTTCGGATGAACGACTTTCCAAGGCCGACGTGTGGGTGCCGAATTCAGATAACGATGGTTGTGGTTCAGATAGAGCGAGTTATGTCTGCCTCAGTCTCTCAGTGATCACCGAACATGTGGTTAGTTTCCACCAAGCTGAGCTGTGAGCTTCTCCATGTTCTGATCCAATTCGTAGACAAGTTCTATGCTCATTCAACACGAGTCTGAGTGCTTACAACCCAACACATCCTTCGTAGAAGCCTGGCGGCTTGCCAGTTGCTCCAGAACGCTTTTGAATTTATCGATATACCAGGAAACTGCCTGCTCCAGACAGCAGAATCCCAGTTATTGTAAATCAAACTTTATCTTCTACATCCTCAAACAGACAGCAGCGACAGACACAAAATCTTCCACTCGTTCCAGGAATCCATCATGTATCCTAACAGTTGTGTTCTATCAAGGCAGGAGGAGCCCCCTTCTCCTTTCTTAACGTGGAAAAAAACTATCAGTGGCATTCAGAGACCAGCTGACCAGATCCATAATTAAAGAAATTCAGAGGAAAATGCAGAGAGGCGCTCCAAGTAAGACAGCACAAAGAGCCGGCAGGCAGGCAGTGTAGGGAGGCGAAAAGAAAAGCGACCGTCCTCGGCAAGAGCAGGACGAAATAAAACTGATGATGTCCTGATTGTTTCTTCTAATTTAATTTAATAAAGCACTTGTATTCAAAGCAGGTTCACTAAGAAACACTTTTTTTTTACTATCTGTCACATGGAGTTTAACATGCAGGCAGAACATGAAAATGGTCTTCTACCCTATTTGCTGTATTAGCCACTGATTAAAATAGACGAGGATAGTCTAGGATCTGAAAAGCCTCACATATATATGTCACACTGTCACTTAACATTCATGGACTCAACCATCTTGGCTCGTGACAGGGAAGGCTGTTGGGTTCAAATCCAGGAGAGCGCAGAGCACACCCCTGTTAGTAGAAGCTAACCATTAGCATTAGCAACCACAACATGGCAGAGCTCCTTCAGTGTGTGTGTGTGTGTGTTCTGCTTGCAGGTGAAAGAGGCCATTCTGAATGATGAGAACTACTGCCCTCCAGAGACAGCCGTGCTGCTGGCTTCCTATGCCGTCCAAGCCAAGTATGGAGACCACAGTAAAGAGCTTCACAAGCCTGGTTACCTGGCAAACGACCGTCTGCTACCACAGAGGTACACACGCTCACTTTAATTCAGAATAAATGCGTGATTTGCATGCTCACTCCATCTTGATCATGGACAGAGTATTATAACATTAGCTTTCCCATCTGCCTCTTTCAGTGCACCTCTGTGTAGGGTTCCTCACAAAGAGGATAAAAGCTGGTAGCATTAATTATTTATACCAATAAACTTTGTTCTGTGCAATGTTTGGCCTTTGCCTGCATGTGTGCTCGTGCATCCTGCAGAGTTCTGGAGCAACACAAGCTGACAAAGGAACAGTGGGAGGACAGAATACAGACGTGGCACGAGGAGCACCGAGGCATGCTCAGGTGAGTCCCTGTGTGTGTGTACTTGGTATAATGCTAAACATGAGGCCTTTTAATTTAAAGAGGCTGTGTATGTTTTTATTATTATGACACTTCACAATAAACTTTTTGGTTGACCTAAAAAATGAAGATGAAACCTTCTCAGTGCTGGGGGCACTGTGTTTATGTCCTGCAGCCTGTTCTAAAACAGCTGCTGCTGAGCTCTGTGGTTCCATCAGAGACAGATTAAATATGAGCAAAAGGGTGAACGGATGCTCCTGCTACTTAGGCCTAGGACGACAACAGAATTTTTCTGGACGATATATTGTCCAACAAATTATTGATGGTAAACAATATTATTGTCAACATTATCGAGACCAAAATAACCACTTATGTAATGTTAATATATCATAATAATGCAAGTACACCCTTTAAAATACAACAATTAAACTTTTTATTTAACATCGGAACGTCCAGAACCAGAACTTCTAAATAAATAAATAAAACAAACAAACAAAAAATAAATAAAGAAGGACTTTCTCTCTCTGTTAGACAACGTTGCACCAAAAACAACAAAATCAACTCTGTCTCTCCAAAACATCAAATACAACAGCCTATCAGGTGTCAGCAACCAAAACTGCACTTCAATAATGATGATAAATAATTATATTGAGTTGTACGTTTCTTAACCTTGAAATATTGAGGCTGGACAAAAACATTGAAGTTTATTTTCATCTATTGTACGATTAAGTGATTTATTAATTGTCGCCCCAGCCCTACTGCTACCAAAAGCAAACCGATAGTAGGGTTGTCACGGTGTGGAAATGTAACCTCACGGTTATTGTGACCAAAATTATCACGGTTTTCGGTATTGTCGCGGTATTTTTTTTATACGTGCTACATTTTCAGACAAGTAAATAAACCCTGTACATCTGGAAAATATTGTCCTCAGTTTGTGTCTAAATTTTGCCTAAAATGTGTTATTGTGTAATTATGTTGTTTATTTGTTTACATTTTTCCCCTTTAGTCTTAAAAATGCCAATATTTGCCCATAACTTCTTATTTTTTGTCTGTTTGATGTCATCATTTTAAAAATATTAGATCAGATGATACTCAGTACTCAAGTAGCCTTCTAATCAGATACTTTTTTACCCTTACTTGAGTAATAAACCCTATATCAGGAAAATATTGTCCTCGGTTTGTGTCCTTCCAGTGAGCTTTGCAGATGTGGGAAAATGTCATCAGGCAGTAATCGTTGTTGAATTCATAATTATCCTCGGAGAGAGACCAACTCTTATCTGCCCCTGGGAGCCCCGTAATGCATAGCATCATTTCAACATGGCGGTGTCCGCGACACGGTTTATATGCAGGTAGTGGCGCTGCGGCTGCTTTATATAGCGACTCGTTGCATTCTCCCTCAACCCAAATCCTCGGATCAGACATTTTAGCTAAAACGCTAACGTTAACTTGCCTTGCGTTGACTGTAGAGTTGTGGGTGATGGTTACGCAGATGTGTCATGAGATTTGAAGCGTTGCTGCCTTTCACAGACACTTTTTCTGCACGTGCTGCAATCAGGATAGCCGTCTTCTATCAACTGTCCCTCGGCATTCTTCAAATATCCAAGAAATTCCCGTACTTCCCACTTTGTCTTCTTTGAGGGATAAAAAATGTCCTCCTGAGCGCTGCCATCTCCTCCTTTGGCCATGATTTCAGCTTTAGCTTCAAGAAAGTTTTGGTCGTAAACAACAAAGTGCGCATGTGCCGCCGGCAACTTCAGCAGATGATACGGTGGCTGGTAAGGGTCACCGCGCTGACACCGCAGCCACGGTAATCCACCGAGATAATATGTTTTTAAAAACAAGACGGTTATTATTATTGTCAACTTTTTTACCGGGGTTTACCGCTACACCGGTTACCGTGACAACCCTAAACGTTAGTAAAAAGCATTCAGACGAAACCAGTGATGCTTCCAGCTCTACCGTGTATTTGTGCAATAATTTCAGACATCATTATTCCTGATACAGTTATTCCTCATCCTTTCATCCCCGCCCAGGCTAGACTTCTGACTTTTGAAGATGCTAGGCGTCTGCAAATTGATGAAAAGTAAATAATTGAAGTTTGAATGAGATGACGGATGCAGAAACTTACTCTGGAAAATATATTCAGAGATTTCTGCCAAGGTTATTGATTGTTTATGCTTGTTTCTGTTTGTGTGTGCAGGGAGGACGCGATGATGGAGTACCTGAAGATCGCTCAGGACCTGGAGATGTACGGCGTTAACTACTTTGAAATCAAAAACAAAAAGGGCACAGAGCTGTGGCTGGGGGTCGATGCCCTGGGGCTGAACATTTACGAGCACGAAGACAAGTAAACATCACACAGAAGCACACTACTGGTGGATCGTTTAGCTCTCAGATTCAGTCTAATCAGAAATTTGAGTTTTTTTTATTTAATTATGGCATCATGATGCTAGGGGGCTGGTAGGAAAGTGAAACCACCAGTTAAGCGCATGTCGGCAGCAACGACGCCCACTCCCAAGTGACATTACAGACGCTGTCATAGTCAGTTTTTAGAAGAGAGAATAAAAACAAACAGATAAAATGTTTTACAGTTTTTCCTGCTGCATGTAAAAATTGTGGCTGATCGTGTAACCAGTATCTGGTTTTATGTGACAAGAGCGCCCTCTTAGGGTGAAAAACTAAACTGTTAAATTAAAACCAAGCTGTTAAAACTCTTAGATGTTATAATTTTGTAACTGAACAGCGTCAGTTGGAAAACATTTTTGTGAACTTAAATTTAAGATGTAATCGTGTTTTTTTTTTCCCTCAGATTGTCCCCAAAGATCGGCTTCCCGTGGAGCGAGATCAGAAACATCTCCTTCAATGACAAGAAGTTTGTCATCAAGCCCATCGATAAAAAGGCTCCAGTAAGTTTTGATGAATTCATGTGGATAAACGCGTGGCCGCTGTTTAAAATCAACCCTGAATCTTTTTCTTTCCTCAGGACTTTGTGTTCTACGCCCCTCGTTTACGGATCAACAAGCGCATCCTGGCGTTGTGCATGGGAAACCACGAGCTGTACATGAGGAGGAGGAAGCCGGACACCATTGAGGTGCAGCAGATGAAAGCTCAGGCGAGGGAGGAGAAGCATCATAAAATGATGGAGCGGTATGGTTCACCCCAGCATCAGCTTCATCCTCCACTCGTCCCACTTGTTTTGTGGCATTTTGTTCCACTTTGTGTTGCATGTTCCGCACTAGGGCTGCAGCTATCAAATATTTTTGTAATCGAGTACTCTATCGAATCTTTTATCGATTAATCGAGTACTCTAATAAATTACCCTTTTGTGTTTGTAAACCATTATATCAAATAGCATGTTATAAAATATGAAAGACCTCTTAAAATGAGCAAGCAATTTCCAGTTATTCTTCAAGTTTTATTCAAAATTAGTTTTCAGAACTTCAGAACTTCAACTTTACTTCACAGTAAACAAATGCGAGCGGCTGTGGCCCAAACAGCATCAGAACCGCTCACGGCGCATGCGCAAACATGGCTCGCCAGCTGTTTCCCTATTAACACATGTCCGTTTTAATTTCTACACTTTTTTTCTCACAATAACAAGGGTTGCCGAGAAAGCATGTTTGCCGTGGTTATGTCAAATTAGACAGATCACAGAACATTTATTTACTTTCTCTGGTTTTCCTCTCATAAATACCCGTGTCCTCCTGCAGCAATCCTGAGGGACAACAACACAATAACAACACAACAAAAAGTCCGACGTGTTGTAAAAACTGCTATTTTTTAGCACATTTTAAGTCCGACGTGTTGCTACCAAACGTACGGTGTGAGCTGAAACTTGAGTGCTACAAACGAAAAAGTCGCACAGTGTCCGCAGAATATATAGAAATACAGGATCTTGTAGAGGCTCCGAGTCCGCTTGCAGAAGTGACATTTACATGTAGATGTTTCCTGGTCAGGTGCTGCAGCATGGAGGATGTAGGCTAAATCCATTTTACAGTATTTATACTGGACTACGTTTTCCGCCTTTCGATGTGAAAAATGGTCCCACACCTTTGGCATTTTCTGTCTTTTCGCACTCCACCGGGGTCCACGTTGTCCGCCATGGCTTAAGAGAAAGTTTAGTTACATTCGCTACTCGCGTGTGCATTCAGTGCAGTGTGTATGTGCGTCACTTATTTCGGTCCGGGTGAAACACGACCCAGGCGATTGCTAAACAATGAATTAATTAAACACAAGTTAAACGAAGGCTCGAGGCAGAGAGTTTGACTCGAGTATTTTTTGTACTCGAATTATTCGATATACTCAAGGAATCATTTCAGCCCTATTCTGCACACATATATGGATCAGTTAGGGGAAGTTTGATGGACGTTTTAAGCACTAGGGGGCAGTGGTGTGATGTAAAAGGTCTTACCTGCTCAAGCTGCTGCAGAAGGAATCAGATATTAGTTGTTTTTCTGTTGATAAGAACTAGTTTCTGTTTAATGGGTTTCGTTACACTTTGTGTTGCAAGTCACAACCAAAAATAAAAGCAAAATCATAAAAATTCAAATGTTCGTTAATGCAGATTAATGGCTAAACATAATAAAACAGCTGCATTATTATTTAGGTGTCAGAATTGCAACGATGTCTGACTTTATTCCGTTTTTCTGCAGATGACCAGGCGTAAACACACAGTAAACCCTTTCTGTAGCTCGTCCATTCTCATGTTCTTATCTATACCGTTTAAACAGCCAGCTGATTGCAATCTAGGATGTGTGATGGTTTATTTCCTGTCTCGTTTCCTCAGAGCACAACTGGAAAATGAAAAGAAAAAGCGTGAGCTTGCAGAGAAGGAGAAGGAGCGAATAGAGCGGGAGAAGGAGGAGCTGATTGAGAGGCTAAGGCAGATTGAAGAGCAGACACAAAGAGCTCAGAAAGGTACGACGGGCTCGCAGAGATGTTTTTTATTTCACAGGTGAGTTTTGAGTGTGTTTCTGAGCAAGGTCACTATTCTTAAAGCGAGCCACACTGCGTGGCACAGTAGTAACGATCCATCACAAACATGTGATGCCTGTCATGGACACTAATCCTTGTCATCTCCAGACTAGACCAAACAGTCGGGTCAATCTGTGGTCAGACTTGAATGCTGAGTGATGTTTGCTCGTCTCTCCCTGCAGAGCTGGAGGAGCAGACCCGCAGGGCGCTGGAGTTGGAGCAGGAGCGAAAGCGGGCGAAGGAAGAAGCCGAACGCCTGGAGAGGGAGAGGCAGGCAGCAGAGGAGGCCAAGGCGGCGCTGGCTCAGCAGGCTGCTGATCAGATGAAGACTCAGGAGCAACTGGTACCCGCTGCGCGCCACACTTTTACATCCCAGATGTTTGTTCTATTTGTTTAGAGATATGTTGAATTCATTATGTCATAATGTTTAATTCATAAATGATTAAAGACTTTTTGATATTATTGGGATGTGTTGGCATGTTTAGACGTGCTGGGATCTGCTGACATCTTGTGTTTGTCGCCAGGCTGCTGAGTTAGCAGAGTTCACAGCCAAAATCGCTCTGCTGGAGGAGGCAAAGAGGAAAAAGGAAGAGGAAGCAACAGAATGGCAACATAAAGTAATGAAATTACTTTTTAGTACCCACCGATTCCTTCAGGGAGTGAAAATGTTCATGCATCATTCGACCCATCCCCCCACCACAGGCGCTGTCAGCACAGGAGGACCTAGATAAGACGAGGGAGGAGTTAAAGACAGCTATGACCTCACCGCCCGCACCTGATCATGACGAGGAGGACGAGACGAATGCCGAGGCGAGCGCCGAGCTCCTCAGCGACGGCGTGAACACCCACCGCAGCGAAGAGGAGCGCATCACCGAGACAGACAAGAACGAGCGTGTGAAGAAGCAGCTACAGGTGAGCAGTGACGCGGGGAGTTGTGTGTACGCAGTAACGGCCTCACTTATTATGTCACATTTAAATGTTGGAACGTGGTGGAACCGTCCTCGTGTCCTCCCTCCAGGCTCTGAGCTCGGAGTTGGCCGAGGCTCGAGATGACACTAAGAAAACGCAGAACGACATGCTGCACGCCGAGAACGTCCGGGCAGGAAGAGACAAGTACAAAACGCTGCGCCAGATCCGCCAAGGCAACACCAAGCAACGAATTGACGAATTTGAGTCCATGTGAGCCCCCACAGAACAGCGGACGTTTAAGGAGGCTGTCGGTCTCGTTGCCATGACAACGCCTCATTCATGAAAGCCTAAAGCCCGCTTGCCACTCCTGGCCCGCTGCTTCACCCGCCCAGCAGAGAGGTGAGCTGTTTGGGATCCACAGCCAGCCTGGGAGGACTCGGCCAGTCGCGTCGTCTTCTGCTTCTTAGAGCTTCGCCCTCAAACCAACAAAGCACACGTGTTTTATTATAAAGCTAAAATAGCAAGCCCCTCCCCCTCCTGTGTACGTCTCTGGTAATTTAATGCTTGCATGTTTGGTGAATCACAGAGTTGGAGAGAAGCAGAGACTGGACAGACGGTTTTGTTTTTACTAAACAAACAAATCTAAAGGCCATTTGTAGCTTGTTGATGAAGACGGTATGCTTTAATACATGTTTAAATGTTTTTATTTTTATTGCCTTCTAGTCCCGTCTAGTCCTGTTTTGTGTTCTAGGAGGTTTTACAGCCACTTACCTGTTTGCTCATCCGGGAGAATCCAGAGCAGTTTAGTTTTGACTGATATGCAAATCAGATCTGCTTATTTACATCCTAACTGCTCTGTCTCCACTGGCCCGTTCAGACATTGTTCAAATATATATTTTGCTCCACAATAAAGAAGGACTTTATATTTCCTAACTTGCAGCGTGAGTCTGGTCCAGAGTCGCTACACCGGTGTTATGACACGAATAAAATCCCTCTGCTCGTTGGTTTCATGCAAATGACACAAATCCAGCCGCAAATGAAAGCTTGAGTTGTTTATTGGTCATGCTTGAGTCACACAACAGTCACGTTTGCCAACATCCCCTAGTCATGTTTAATGTTTTCCTGCTTTTACCAGAACTTGAGGCATCACTTTTGGTAATAATAAAAAACAAAACAAAAGATTTTCTGAAGTAAAAATAATTTTACCAGATGTGTACATCTAATTGGGTCTGTCCAATTTTTTGCTTTTAAAGCAAATTCCCCACTTAAATCCCTCATGTTACATCATTTATATAAATATTAGAACGGGTGCTGCTGAAATCTACCCGCAGTCATGATAATGCAGGCTTAGGGACCCAACCCCGCAGGTTTTTATTCAAAACTACATTTCTTTAGCAGAAAACTGTAAAAGCAGCAGCGTCAAACACTAAACCTCCTTTTGGTTTGGCTTAATACACTCATACAGTTAAACACATTTTCACTGGTAAACAGGCCGTCCTCACCAGTTCCTCCAGTACATTTACGGTGCATTAAAGCACATTAAAAATGAAGGACTGAATAACAAGACGTCGGGAGAAAAGATTCAGCAAGTGTTTCAAGTTGATGAATTCATAAAACACACATTTACCAGGATTTATTACTTTTAATGTTATTATGGACACGATCAGACTAAACTCAAAGCTAATAAAAGAGGTTGTGAGCCAGTGCATTTCATTATCACACACATTCACTGTATAATACTCGGAATGGAAGACGAGCTATTGCAGCTTTCCTTCTGCATCGCCTCACATGCTGCAGCAGATTTTCATATTTTCTATTCTGAATTTTGCAGATGCTTTTTATTGTTGCCACTGGCCTGTAGCCACTTGCATATACTGCAGGGTGCCTACTCGGTGATCATGGGCAGTATGAGGAAGAATGAAACTAACATTTATAATGGGAGGTGTGATTTGGGTCATTTTGGTGTAAAAAGTGAGCCCGCACAGCTTGCTGCAAGTAGCATCAGCCAAGTTGTCTTCCTGAGCCATCAGCTAGATGCTTTAGCAGTCAAGATAACAGCAACGGACTTAACTGCGTTATTCAAAAGATTAATTTAAAAACAGTCAGAGTTTAATCTGTTGCAGGACCAACTGATGCAGGATGATACCAGGTGAGCAAATGCTGACCACTTTCCCACATTACTGCAACAGCAGTGTGAGACTGAGACCAATGAGACCTTTACAGATTCTAGATATTTGATGATCTTGCTAATGAACATTTAACACCTGCATAAGCAGAATAATACTGTTGTGATAAAAATAGAAAAGGATGTAGAAACGTGCTTCATGTTCATCCTGAGGCCTCTTTTCCAATTCGTCATTTTTTTCCCCTATTCACACGACCTTTTAGCTATGATTTAAATCCAATAATCATATTTACTTTGATAGACTAAAACATCCGGTTTAGGATAAAAGTCACAAATATAAAAATAAAATCCAAAAAATGTTCCCAGTAGTTGAAAAATAGTCTTCTGTTTAATGTCCACAGGAATGTTAATACAACACCCACAGGTGTGTGTGTGTGTGTGTGTGTGTGTGTGTGTGTGTGTGCACGTGTGTGCGTGTGTGTGTGTGTGTGTGTGCTGTTCAGTTGTATTGTATTGTGTGTGTGTTGTTCAGTTGTATTGTGTGTGTGTGTGTGTGTGTGTGTGTGTGTGTGTGTGTGTGTGTGTGTGTTGTTCAGTTATATTGTGTAAACCCTGTACCAGACACCAGCACACAGTGCCAGAGACGTCTGGTTTTGGATGTTTTAACGCAACTTGTTCATTGGTTCTCCATCACAGCCCGGGAGGAGATTTTCCATGCTCAAGATCTTCAAATCAAAATGGAAACATGGTTTCAAAATCGTAAGAAATACATTGGAAATCGTTTAAAGCCTGTAGAACAGATTTATGCCAAACCTTCTGAAAATCTATTTTGGCATCATAATAAATCCTGAGATCTGCTGGGATGCCTTCAGAGTTTAAAGTTTAAAAACCTCTATGATGAACCCCTCATGTACAGGAACAGTCTTTTTAACCAGTATTAAAAATATTTGTTTACTAAATAAAACAATGAAATCCCTTTTTAACGAAAGCCTGATGGTTAGAGATAGCCACAAAATTTCAAACATTCAGCTCAAAGTATTTTTCTTTAAATATGTTTAAATTAAACACATCTTAGGATACAATTTGTATCAACAAAAACAGGATTCATCTGTCTTCTGGACCACTCGGGCAGCAGTTTTAGTATCACAACAACCCCTCTGCTTCAAACACTGATAAACAACCACAATATTGTTTTTATTTTTCCACTCAACGTTTCATTCCGGCTCAAAATGAGTTACAATAACAAAGTAAAAACAAAAGTTTTAAAAGAACAGCTCATAAACGAGGAAAATTTGTTGAATTCTGAAACATTTGTGTAAGTTAAAGCTGAAGTGCAGGACTTAACATTCAAGCTCTGGTCTGTGGAAAGGTTTAGAAGATGAATACTATACCATTTGCCTTTACATATAATAAAATATTTATTTAACACGTATTTTAAGATTTCTTGCACTCCCTTATCCTATTTAAGAAACCATAACAAGTATTTAACACATTAAGCTATTGCTTTCAAACTGGTTTCAGTGACTCTTGAGCCCGAAACTTGACCAGAAACTGCACCTAACCGTTGTGTGGATGGGTAGGAACACAAGTGGGAGGTCTCTACCCGCTTTACAGCAACTGCTGGTTACTGTGCCAGTTGCTAATATAAAGGCTAGCAGTTAGCTTTTTTTTTAGCCTTTTCAGTTTGCCGCCCATCAATACAAAACCCAAGAAGAACAATTTTGCTTTGTTTTAGTCATGGCAGACAAAAATCTAACCCTTGTAGTAAAAGTAAGAGAGTAATGTCTTTGGAGGCGAAGCAAAGAGCTAAAACTTGAATGAACATTGGCGCGGCCTACGCTAGTTTTAGGAAGCTAAGGGAGGCCATGAAATCACAGACTGATGGTGACCTGGCTTTGTTGCTACTGGACTTGTAAGTAATAATATTTTTTTGTCTATCAGTGTGGATCTTTTTACTTTATGACTTGTATAGCATCAGGTGGGGCGTGTTAGGGTTAGCTCGTTGTTTGCTCCGACTACAGGCTAGTTGGCAGGGATGTTTACGACAGTTGTAATTCTGCTTTCAACCAGTAGGAGGGAGAAGCAGGAAACATATTAATGTCCCATTTACTGTTTGGTCAGCTTTGCCAGGGTCAGGTGGGGACAGGCTGTCGTCATGAACGCTGCAGTGGGTGCAGACTGTGCCACAAGTTAGTAAACAAAAGCGGTGCATGAGCAGTGTCACTTTTAGGGATTTTGACATGAAACACACAACTTCCTTCTCACTGAGCAGCGGTACTGCCGTGGGCTCCTCTCCCATTCAAAAGCATCCCGTCCACAGCAGACGGTCAGTCCTTGCGCTGTCGCTGCAGCTCCGCCCAGTGCTAGCTGCAGTCATAGAAGATATTAACCCAACTGCGTACAGATTGCTAATGAATCGCACAAGCGGGAAGCCACCGCTGGCTGATTCTACCCGCGCCAGTCAGAGGCTCCCACTAGTAGGTAGGTGTGAGAGTGACCTGCAGGGCTTAAATAAACAGCTCCACACCAACAATGCTGATGTAAATGCAATTACTCCACCCGGCCCAGACTGAGCTGATCCGAGTGTAAATGCTCTATAAGTGTTGCTTTAAGCATATTGGCCTATTTTATTGAATTGGTGTAAGCTAGCTCATTTATTATTTTTATAAACAATCTGTATTACAACCAGATGAACCATGATGTCAGCTGACAGGACTGTCCTGGAGAAGTTGCCGCCACCTCAGTGGTAAACAACAGCTTGAGGTTTTGAAGTGGACTTTTTTTTTGGTGGCTGTTGTTGGGAGTTTCACTTCCGTCATGGGAAAATCCACAAGATCACACCAATTACACGTGTGCACCTGCTAGCCAACACTGAAGCATTTGGTCTGTGTGCTGAGTTAAAGTAAGTATGGACAGAAAATATTTTTTTAAAAAGTTCTTGCAGTTGCTGTGACAAAATTGTAGATGGCAGGCCTTAAACCCTGAAATGATTGCCCCATTTGAAAAAAACTAAAGGAAAAACACAACAATGAACAAAAGTGCCCCAAATAATTTTAAACATATATAAATAACTTAAAAGTCTCAAATAAATAAAGTTTCTAACGAACATTTTCACCCTCAACACACACAGTCAAACCCTTTCCTCATTTTAAGTGCTCAAAATAAAGGAGATTCACAGAAAAGTATGGGGGTGTTCAGATTTCCCTTAGAAATAATTAGCACATTCCTTTAAATGAAAAGACAACGCAAAGTGAAGAATCATTATGTCTTGTGTTTTTGTTTTGGGTGCGACAAACCTGATTTTCATTATTTGCAAGAGATTTACTTGCAAAAATCAGGAGGTTAAAATAAGTTGCAATCACGAGGGATGCTGCAACTTCTCAATCAGAATTGCAGCTGCAAGCTCCTGGGCATCCATCACATGAGGGTTCTTAGTCATCACCTTCCTCACCAAATCTGATGGGAAGATGCCACACAAGTTAACAAACAGCCTTTCCCTTAAGTCCTGGTATCGACCCAAAGCAGCATTCTCAGACTGGTGCTCTGACAGCAGGTGACTCTTAGGGGATGCGGTGGATGGAAGGGGCTGCTGTGGGAGGGTTGCTGAAAGGCCACGGGGCGATGGATGAGCTTGCTGGCTCCAGGGAGAGTGCCAGCTCTTACCATATAGAGGTGGGAAGCTCTTGTAGGAAAACAGATCATAGCACGGCTTAGGAGAAGGCTGATGATGAGGCTCCCAGTTAATCTGATGCTGAGGTTGCCCAAAGTAGTTTCTTTTAGAATGAAATGGTGAACCATTGTACACTCTGGAGTCCTGGAGCTCACCTTCTGGTGATGCCGTTAGGCTGCAGCTGAGGGGGGAACTCTGAGAATTAGAGCGGGGAGTAGATGTTTGGGTTGGTAGTTCACCAGGAAAACGTCTGAAGGATGGATGCTGATGTTGGGGTGGGATGTAGGCTGAGGGATTCTTAAGATGATGTGGTGACGCCTGAGAGGACGCTGAAGGAGGACTTTCTTTGATGACAGACCCACGTGATGTTTGAACTCCGTGACTAACAGAATATCCATAAGATGAATGCTGACCCAGAGCAGGAGAACACTGGGTTGCTTGGTGGCCGTACCTGTTTGAGTAGTAGAGTTGATGGTGAGAATGGTGGTGGGGACATTTAGGGCTGTCATCCAATGTGGAGTCAGGAGAGAAAGAGTCTGATCCAAGGCTGCCATCACTGCTGCAATCTGATGCCAGAGAACCTGCTTGCAGGTCAGCTGATAGGATGCATTCTGGGGTCTGTGGCACCACAAGACTGAGACTTGAATAGGTCTTTACTAGAGACCTATATCTCACCTCTGGAGATGAACATCTGCGGTAAGATTCAGCCTGACTTGATCTAGAAGCTTCAGTTAGTCCACCACCACCTTCACTATCTACCCTGGGATGCTCCCATCTGTCCAGGTGTCCTCCTGGAGCAGGATGTCTTACAATGATACTGCTGCTTTTGCTTCCGTTACATTCCTCTGGTTTGAGAAGAATCTGAAACGTGTCCTCCATGGAAGTAGGCAGGGAGCTCCATGGAGTCTGGTTTGGTAGTGTCTTGCATTTTCTTGGTTCAGCTTCAGGCATCTCGTCTGATTGACCAGAACTTTGGCTCTTCACCAACAGGGCATGCTGTAGGAGGCCTCTGGAAGCTACTGCTGAAATTTTGGCACTGGCGCGGAGCTCATCAGCCACAGATTGCTGCGGCTGACTACCCCTTTCTGGATGGTAGAACTTACACTTGTGGCCATATGTGCACTTCTTTCCTAAAAAGACAAAATAAATGAGTCTGTAAAAGAGTACATCAAAGTATTTTTTAATGAGAACCTTTCTGACGATCAGTGTTTGAGTCTTGTTCTTACAGCAGGATGCAAGAGTTTGGGCAGCCTTGTTGGTCTTCATGTGTTTCCTGTATAAATATTTGGTTGTTACGATAAAAAGAACGCACACAGGGATATTTGAGAAGTGAATCAAAGTTTAAAAGGTTTACAGAACCTGTTTAAAAGGCAGTTGGATACATTTGGGCTCTGGTGGGACTCCAAAGCTTTAGAACTAAATACTGGAGCTACAAATTGGTTTGGTAAGTTCAGTGACCCTTGACCTCCATACAGGTGAATCCAATTATGATAACGAGTATTTAAGAAGGCCAACTGTGTTTCCCCTTCTCTTTTAATATTCTCTGAAGAGTACCAACATGGGATCTCATAACAAGTCTCACATGACCTGAACACAAAGATAGTTAATCGTGGTTTAGGGGAAGGAGACAGAAAGCTGTCTTAGAGATTTCAGCTGTCTGTTTCCACAATCCGGAACTTATTAAGGAGATGGAAGATCACAGGCACAGTTCAAGTTAAGGCTCCAAGTGGCAGACCAAGAAAAATCTCAGATAAACAGAAGAATGGTGAGAACAGTCAGAGTCAACCCACAGACCAGCACCAAAGACCTACAACATCATCTTGCTGCAGATGGAGTCTCCGTACGTTGTTCAGCTATTGGGTGCACTTTACACAAGGAGGTGCTGCATGTGAGAGTGATGCAGAGGAAGCCTTTTCTCCACCCACAGCACAAACAGAGCAGCTTGAGATCTGCTAAAGCTCATTTGGACTTGCCATCTTCATTCTGGAATAAGGTGCTGTGGACTGATGAAACTAAAACAGTTATTTTGGCATAACAAGGGGTGTTGTGCATGGAGGAAAAAGAACACAGCATTCCAAGACAAACACCTGCTACCTACACTAAAACATGGTGGTGGTTCCATCATGCTGTGGGCTGTGTGGCCAGTGCAGGGACTGGGAATCTTGTTAAAGTTGAGGGACGCATGGATTCCACTCAATATCAGCAGATGCTGAAGACCAATTTCCAGGAATCAGTGACAAAGCTGAAGCTGCGCCGGGGCTGGGGCTTTCAACAAGACCACGACCCTAAATGCTGCTCAACATCTACCAAGGCATTCATGCAGAGGAACAAGTAGAACGTTCTGGAACGGCCTTCTCATTCCCCAGACCTTAATATCGTTAAAAATCTGTGGTTTGAGTTAAAGAGAGCTGTCCATGCTCAGCAGCATCAGACCTGAATGAACTAGAACTGTTTTGTAAAGAAGAACGGTCCAAAATACCTTCAGCCAGAATGCAGACTCTCAGTGGAAGCTATAGGAGGCTGTTATTTCTGCAAAAGGAGGATCTATTAAATATTGAGTTCATTTTCTTGGTGCCTAAACTTATATACACCTGCATAAATGATTGCACACTTTCTGTAAATCCTATAAACTTTGTTTCTCTTCTCAGATATCCTTGTGTGTGTCTCCCATGTGACATACTTAACTGAACATTTTTACCATAACCAACAATTTACATAGGAAAATCATGAAGATAAACAAGGCTGCCCAAACATTCACACCCTGCTGCGTTTCTATTCAATCTTTAGTCAAACTTATTTTTATGTAATGGAACAGAATTGCCTAACTGACCATAAGGACAAGGCTGCTTCTTAGATTCAGGAGCAACCGGCCTCTTCCTCAGGAAATTCTCCAGACTCGGTCCGTGTCGTCCCAGTGGGTCATCCGGAGGCATGAATCTAATTCCACAGTTAGAAAGGAGGATCCAAATTTTAATGTTGCAAGAATTATAGATTATTTTAAGTTTTTCTTTCTGTTTTGAAGTATCAAGGCACAAATAAATCTGATATTATATTAAGCGACACCAACCACTGCTCTGTTCCTGACAGGTCGGGTAAGCCTTTAGTACCCAGAAGCCAAACCCTGCAGTTTGTATCAGTGATGGGATCATCTGGCATGGGATGCTTACTTGTCATTTACAAAGGAGTACATCAGCAGACGCTCATCAATAAATTTCTTCCACTCTGGCTTCTCATTGGCCAGGTCTCGGTAGTTGTCGTTGGAAACAATGATACCATCTGACTCATAGGCCAGTTTGACGATGAATCGGTCATCATAGCAGACCACGCGGCGTCCCTGGACACGTCGAGATGGGGTGAAAACCAGGATCTTATCTTTCTCGAGCCGCCGCAAGATCTCCTGGTCTGAACAGAGAGACAGCAATTCAGGGAAGCAGTGAAAACAACATAGGAGGCTGATGTTCTTTTAGTTTCAGCTAGTGAAAGGGACGAGTCCTCACCAAAACGTGTCAGAACATGCTTTTGTTTTTTCTTCTGTTTTGACACGAAACCGTTTCTGAGAGGTGTGATAGATGTGTACCTGTGATTAGAGCATCAGGTCGTGACTGCTCCTTTCTCCAGGCTGGAACAAAAACGGTGATGTCACGGTGCCCTCGCTCCAAGAACCAATCAACAGCCAGCTGGATGCCTTGGCAGGAGAACACTTCCTTGTTCCCATGACTGCACGAACAAAAATGAAACAATGGAAACGTTGCTGTTGTAACAGAATGAAATGACTGTTCCCCCTCTCCTCTGACACAGGACTAGTCTGCATGAGGTATGGCCTCAAGGTCTCATGCATTTGTTATAAACTGCTTCTTTTCAGCTCAACAGAAGAATGAAGAATCGACTCTCCTTTTAATAAATCATAGAACTCTATTTTTAATAAAGCTAATCAAACAAAGTGATAGTCAATAATAAGATGTGACCAATCTGTGAAATCAAAATATTAATTACTTTATTATAATCCTATAGAATATAATAAGTAATATGACTTTAAATGTTTCCACTAGGACTGATCTCACGTAGCGTTAAGAGACAACAAGTTGTTTTACTGATCCAATCAGAATCTGCCCTGACGAAGGTGTGGTTTTGGTGGTGCTTGGTAAATCTGTCAACTTTTCATTTGACCATAAACCAAAACATCCAAATTATAAAACTATGCCCACGTCATCTTTAACGCCAGTTCAAAGTGTTCTAGAGAAGTTGTCGGAGTGGCCAATCCGTAACTTTCCTCTTCAGCCGAAAGAACCAACGACAAGCTGGATAAATCTGTTGCTGTTCCACCTGCTGCAACGGTTCCTTTCAGAATAAAAGCTGAACCATCAAGACCCAGGTTTGGGTCTCACCAGATGGCAGTAAAATTGTCATGACCCGGGAGTATCTCAAGACTGGTCTGGTCGGCTGCCGTGGCTGCTTCTACAGACTTCGGCTCCATAAGATCAAACTGGACCTTTACACCTCCTGATCTAGACGGGGACTTCCGCTAAGGGTACATAGACAGACAGAATGGCGTTGAACGTGTTTATGAATCTCCTAACCAAAGCTTAACGTGAAGACATCACCTTCACTTCCCACCAGAACTAATCGTTTCTCCGGATTTGCTGGTTCTGAGCAACATTCCACATTACACCATTCTCTGTCTCATTCACCTTAGTTACACCATACATTTAGTGTTAAAGTTAGTCTAGTTTTAATTTGTTTAGTAATAAATCTTTAAACTTTTAAAACCTGACTCTTCTGTTGTCTCTGAATTAATACGAAGCTGTTATCTAATCCCTGCAATAAAAAGTTCCAATCTTCTGGTTAAAATAACCTCACAGATCCATAAGGTTGATTTCATATTTCCCATGGAATCCTACGTCTTATGGCTTATTAAATAACATGTAATTTAAATCATTACAGAATGGCGAGCCAGCCAGGAGACTTGGGATGTTGTTTGTTAGATTTAATAATGCATTACACCGACAAAGGCTCACAGGATAACAGGAAGGAATGTTCTGACTGTCTGAACCTTTTGCATCACTCAGCAGTTCAGAACATCAACTTAGAAAATAGAGTGGAAACCTGACCTCATAGCTACGTTGCTTCCATCCACCACAACAGGCCGAAGGTTGTCTTTGCCGTCCAGCAGAGGGGACGGACTCAGTAGCTGACAGCAGTCCAGGGAAGAGTTGGAGGAAGAGGAAGAGGAGGAGGAACAGGCCAAGGAGGAAGAAGGAGACTGGGATGCAGTTGGACCTCTAGGCTGCTCCATCTCTGTCCTGGTTCCCAGTTTGACCAGCTCTCCCAGAATGTCATTGATGAGTGCATGTGGGCCCAGTTTCTTAAGCACTAACAGCACTAGGTTTTCAGAATAGCCCAGCTTAAGGGCAAACTCAACCTTGGTGCGGTAGTCTGAGACGGGGTCAGAGGGCGGTGATGATCCGGACTGAGATGTGTTTCCAGAGAACGGGCTTGGTGCCAGGTCCAGCCTGACCAGATCACCGTCTAAAGAGGACTCCTGCTGGTGATCTTGAATTGAGCCCCTGCACCCAGAAAGGCTCCCATTTTGAAGCCGTTCATCTTCATTGTCAGAAATAGCGCTCTCTTCTGAAAAAGTACTGCAACTACTACTGCAGCTGCAACTTGAATTTGTACTTAGACTTATAGTACTCACACCAGTACCAGAACTGCTCCTGCTCTGTGCACCACCGTGGACTTGCAAGACCCTAGAAGCTTTTGAAACGTTTGAGCCAACCTGCCTGTCGGCACCATCCACATGGAGATAGTCCAGATCCAGTCCCAGGTTGAGGATGTGGCCTGTTCCATCCTCCAGATGGTCCTTCAGGCCCATGAATCCTTCTCAGACATTCAGCTCCACCTCCTCTTTGACCTCCGCAGCACCCGTTCGACACAACCACTTCTGCTCAGATCAGGCTGCTCACTGGCTCATCCTGAGAAGGAAGCTGGGAGGAAAGAACTGCAGGTTAGGTGCGAGGAAAATATGCCTGAATTTGCATGTTCATTTGAATAGCTAGTGCAGAATGCAAGGTAGTGAAACTAAACCAGAGTACGCCGGTTTCATCACTGAGAAAAAAAAACACATTTCCAGCAGCCAAGGCGCTGTCAGATCAACAGGTTTCTGTTAAATAAGGTAATTTCATCATGAAACTACAGTGGAGAGTTTATAAGTTTAGCTTTGTTTATTTTTTGAGACAAGTCCCAAAAATAACACAAATAACCACTTTCTAAGTAAAAAATGGTGCTCAGAGCAGCTTTACTTCCATCTATCTAAGATGTGTCGAAGCAAAACCTCCCTGACACGCCTACCTGATTTGCCTATTGAGTTCCTTGCAAAAAAAAAACAAAAATCACACATTAGCTTAAGCTGAAGTACCCGCTAAAGGGAACTAACTTCTATTACATTAGGTGAGTGGGTTCACAGCTGCATCCTCTCCTTAAACTCCATTTACAGGTTTGCAGTGGAGAGCATTGAAACATAAAACACAGACGCTTTCTTAGGTTAACAGTTTAATCAATGTAATCCAAAGTCATTCTGCAACATTTT